CCCCTCTCCAAACGTGTTTGCACACACTTTTCTCTATACACACAAAACTCAGTTTCTTTGATTCCTTATAAATAGCACTGCGAGTTTAATACTCCGTAAATTTCATCTTAGTCTTACTGTGTGAACATTTAATAATAGAAATAAATGACTTTTGCTATTTGTTAATAGAAAAAAATTTTTTTTTTTGTTATCTCTGCATAAGTTATGATAAATTTTGATTTAATTCATGAGATCTCAGAACCCAATTATTCATGATTGACCAAATCATTAAAATAAAGAATATCTAAATACCAAATTCGCACTCGATATAATCTTTTAGAAACATAATAACTTCTTGGGAAAATATTGTAAATGGATAAGTTTGATAATTATCCATCAAGTTGTAAATGGATAAGTTAATAATTATCCATAGAATTACTTTCTATTGATGAAAGGTTGTGCCAATTATGTGTTAGTATAAATACATATGTTGTACTAAGAAGAACGCAATAATAAAAAGTCTTCTTTCACTTATATCTCGATCATATAAGTGATTTTTTTTTTTGGTCATGATTTTGTTCTTAGCTTCATGGTCTAAGTCAGTTTTTTTTGGGTCTTCTTGTTCTACTTAGAGGAGACACTTGCTTCTTATGGAAGGCTAGAGTTGAACTTGACAAGGGGCTCTATTGAATCCAGTTCTCTGGTGGAACAACTTTTGGTTAATAGTGGTTACTCCTGAACTGGATCATGGTAGTTCATCTAGTTCTTTATCATTGTATATATTTCCTGGCCTCCTCAGCTTTTACACATCTCATGAAGATATGGGTTTCTAACTAATTTCTTTATTTAGGGGTGATTCAACAAAGGATGATAAGTTTAGGGAATTGAGCAGCTGTCAGGATAGATTGGTTGAGCTAGCTGCACATGTGCTCTGCTGGGTACATGTTTTATATTCAAATTACTTTTGTTCCTCACAACAGAGTTCCAACTCAACCGACCATTTGTCATTTTTGTTTTCACCAGTTTTTTCATTTTTCTTTTCAATACAGTCCATTGAATCCCATCACAAAAATGCGTGATTCCTCACACCCTTGTGTATACTTGGATATGTATCTGTGTCTGCGTGTGACTATAGGGAATGTGGGAGAGAAAGAATGTCAGGCCTTTCTAGACCATCACTGTCAGAGAAACGAGCTCCAAGGCAACATATTGCATCACGTCTTGTGGTGGCACTAACTGAAGGAAAATGGTTGTGGTATGTTTCTGATCTGCTGATGTCTTCTAGATATATGTGTAGCCATATAATCAGAACGCATTTGAGGAGCGTACATCTTTGGTTTGTTATCAACATGTAGCTTCATTCCAATTTGTAAAGTTGGAGCATAAGTTTCAAAGGCATAGCTCATCTCTCAGGCTTTGATTCTCATTTGTTAAACTCTCTATTCTCTTTTGAAGTTGCTCGCATTCCACCTATAGAATGCGTTAAACAATGGAATAAGTAATTAACGAGAAACATAGCAAAATGATACTAATGATCCCAGCTACATTACCGCATCAGTCAGTGGTTGTATCAATTGCTTGCTTACAATTTAGACCATAGTAGTTCTAGAAGAGCTCTATCTTTCACAGAGGCTGGGATTAGTCGTTGCTCTCTTGTAGGAGATTATCTCTGTTTAGCCTTAAAGTGATGGTCGTCACTTATATCCGCAAGAGGATTTTACCTTTGATTTCTTTTGTAGAGACATATGTCACTGCTTGTTTATGTCAGAGAGCTTTTTGTCTCTAAGTTTTTATGTAGTGACAGGTCGTCACTGTGGGATTTAGGAAACTTTTATCTCTAATTTGTTTAACATTGACCATGGTCTCGGGTGGCTTTTCTCGTGATCGTAATCGAATCATCACCACCATATTCATTTTATAATATTTCCATTTAAGGATTTTATCTCAAAATATAGCGACTGTTGTCACTTGTTTTTCTTAGGAGAGATTATCTCTAATGAGAAGCTAATGCTGCTTGAGTTTGCAGTCGTTTGTATTAACTAAACGACACTAGCCATCATCTCGCCCCCTAGATTTATTCCTTTATAGAGTTTTTGTTTCTGATTTGCTATGCCTTTCGGTCATAATCAAAGTTTTGGTATTAAAATTTTGATATGATCTTTCGGTCATGATCAAAGTTTNTGGTAATGGCCTTAGGGTCATGCCCTGATTTTTATAGTGGTCTCTGATGATCGTTGGCTTTCTAAGTGGCTTAAGAGTCAGACATGTTGCTCAAAGCCAGTTGAGGCGCTTTGACCTCTGATGTTAGGCACTTAGCCTTTACCATATGGATGGAAGTCAAAATCCTTGTGTAGTGATCCTTGTAACAATCTTTTTCTTTTGAGGTCGTGCCTCTTGATTTGTTTAGTAGTGATTGTTGTCACAATCTTTTTGAGATCGTGCCTCTTGATTTATTTTGACGTGACTGTCGTCAAGGTCGGATGACACGATCACGATTTGTTTATTGATAAACTGACGGTAGTCTCTAGTTATCATTTGTTTGAAGGTCATGCCTTTTATTTTCATTTTAAGCGATTATCATCACTTTTCGTTTTAGGGAGGTATTACCTCTTTCTGTTTTGTAGTGACCATAGTCATTGATTTTCATCGGTGTATAGCCGTAGCCATCGATCTTCTCAAGAGATCATTGCCCCCGAGATAGATTTCATTTAGTAGTTATTTTTACTATTTTTCTCTTCTTCATTCTACTATTTTGTAGCTGATTTTCAAAGCGACTTAGGAGACATACATATGTTTAAAATTAATAAGGTGCTTAGACCTCTGTAATTAGGCGCTTAGCCTTTTAATATCTTCCAAAACACACACTTTCTTTTACCATAGGTGAAAATGACTTCTTAGACTATTGTAGATCAGCACTTAGCTTTTTTGTACAGAAACAAATCTATCTTCATTCATTGTAGATACTTAACCTTTGATGGTAATAACCTCTGATACTAGGCACTTAGCCCTCTTTATATATATAATATACCAGAATACACCTATTTTCTTTTAACGTTGATGAAACTAGTCTCTTATACTATTGTAGATAAGCACTTAGCTTTTGGTAACTTTGGAAATACATCTATCGCTTTCATTCCGTAGAAGTGTAAATGAAAGTAGTCTTCTAGACTATTTAAGATTAGCACTTAGCTTTTAGTTCCTCTAGAAACACATTTGTTTAACCTGGTTGTGTAGAGCGTTGAGCCGTTGTTCTTAAAGACAAGTTTTATCAGTACTTCTTCAACATACATCATTATAATCTTCGACGTGCTTAGCTCTTAATAGTCTTATATGGGTAAACAACCAATCGTAGCTAAGTACTTAAAAATAGTGAGGACGTGCTTTCTTGTTTTATCTCACGGAGCACAAGAAACCTTCTAGATATAGATTTCACGACACTTAAGAATAGTCATTCGAAAACTTATCTCGATTTTACCGAGGCAACAACTTTTGTCAATCCTGAGAAATTAAATTAGAAATTGTGAACATATTTATTCTCCTTCAGACTTTGAATCCTAGTAAACCAAGATAAAACTCATGTTTTGATGTTTAAAAAAAAAAACTCATGTTTGATGGTGATTATGCCAGGCTTCAGAGGTACATAAACATTATTTTTCTTTTCTGTTTAGATCTTTGCAACTTGAAACCATATCCCCATGTGAAGATTGGTCTCGTTAGTCGTCAGGAACCCTTGTTAAAAGAAGAGACTTTGATTTCGATTTCATGTTTGATTGTTCTTCTGTCTTTGAATCGAATGGATGGGATGATGGTGAAAAATCTTGAGCTTGATTATAAGTCACAAGAAATCCCCACCACGTGAACTCTTCTTAAATTCTGACTCTGATCAAATTTGAACGCGGGTTTTCTTCAAGGACAGAAACGGGTCTTGAGATAAGTGGGAAGGGCCGAGTCGGAGAAGCCAGAACAATTGATTCTCCACAACGCCATAAATCCCTTATGTTTTAGGGTTTTGGAGTTTTTGTACGAATAAAGTAGAAGACATGAAAAAATGCTGTTTCCACACAATATCTAGCTCATGTTTTTTCTCTTTGCTAATTAGCCATCTCTGTTTCTAAAACCATTAGGAACGCTAGTGGCTAGGTTAGTGTTTATGTCCCCAATCATTCCATTCTCTTCATCGTAGATCCATGTATTCATATCAATTATCTCCGATATCCTTGCCATAAGCTCATGTCGTCGTTAAACTATCTCTAGCATCTTCGCTCATGTAATTAAAATTGACCCTCTTTCTAGGACCAAACTGTTTGGACAAATTTTAACCGGTTCTTAATGAAACACCTACATGGATTGACGCTTGAAGAGATATATTATTGATGCATAATTTCTTGGATTACATCGTTCAAAACTACAATAAAAGCGAATTTATAACAAGTATCGAAAGAGAATCCTCCGGAAGACTTTGCTCGCGAAGATCTTTCTGGAAGCTCTTAGCTTGAAAGACTGTATTTTGGCCATGGCTTTTGTCGCTATTTTGTAGTTATTTTTCAAACTCTTAGGGTTTGATCCATTTCTCCTCTTTATATTCTTTTGAGATTTATTCATTCAGAAGATCTCAGAATGGTCTAAATTCGGTCGTACCGAATTCAACTCACGATAAAATTATGCCAAACACAATAGATATCAATAATCATTGTACTCTAAACAAATCGTTTATCTTAGATAAATTTAGCATCTTTCGTGGAGCATTTAACATTAGGTTATTGATTTGATTGATCACCATATTAAAAAGGTATCAAACATTATTAAATTTCATCATATGATTATGACGACTGAAAACAATATACAAATAACAAACATAATTAGATACAGTGAATGTGTTGAAAGTGGTTACGAGTACTTAAAACGAACCGTTTTCAGAAAGAGCCATTTACGTCACGTTTGCTTTATGCTTCACTTTCTATTTACCCAAATTCACATCAAATTCTTCACTTATTTGCCAAACATGTCTCTTCGTGGGTCCACTGTTTCCAAACTTTACGAGACCATCATATTTTTGGTCCATAATTTAAACTACAATTTAGTAAATGGCTAGATCATCAAAACATATTTTTTTTTTATGATCATCAAAACATATAAGAATCCTAAACAACTTAGTCAAAGTTCCTCTCATTATCATGTTCAAAAACACTTATGATTTTCAGAAACATAGTTGCTATGTAAACTTTATATTGACTAAAAGATGATGGATATAACCAGAGTTGACCATGAGTTTTAAAAAAGATCGCATGGTAGAGAAAACAAAACATACCACTTTTATATATTTTTATAAGAAAATGAACAGTTTTGTAGAGAAAATGGATCTTGATTTTTGAAGACCGCAAATTCATACTTTAGGGCTGGTCTTATTATGTGTGTAACAAAAATTATATATCTATTTCCAGTTTGAACAATGAACACTAAA